CAGGGGTGGAATGTACCTGAAAAAGGCAGTAATTTAATTCCTTACCCTTGCTGTGTTAACAAGCCCTTGAGAACAGATAAGCACTCCCATAGAAAAAATCTCCCCCTCGCTACCAAATATAGTAACAAATATGAAATTGTTTTTGCTATGACTGAACTGGCAACACTGATCTTTGCAGCCTTACACAAGGGGAGAGACTGATACGCTCTCAACACTGACAAATCAACACCAATAGCAGTAGTACAAGCCAAAAACCAGACATTCCTCTATATTGAAATGTTACATGCACAAATGCTTCTCACCAAACACAGAGGCCTCGTGCCTCAGTGAGATTGGGACAGCATGTTGCTAGCCAACCAAACTGACCTCCAGAACCTGCAAAATGTTGTAAATCTGTTTTAATTGAAACACTGAAGCCTGCTGGGTTGAGCCGCATGAACTTGTCTAAGTGCTTGGCTGTACAAGCCAGCAGCAGAAATGACAGGATTCACAGCAAGTTCTAGAAGACCGAAAGCCCCAAGACTTGCTGGTTGAGATAATTTTACACAGAACTGCTTTTCTCAGTTAAGCAAAGAACACAGTACAGGGCGATTTGGCCTCTCGAGCAGTTAGCTGAAGCTGCAATAGTTTTAAAAGGATCTGTCAGAATTGGCCAAACTCCACTGAATAATAAATCTCTTTCAACATAAGAGGGGGGAGCTTACCAATTATGTTTGTTTATCAAGGGCATATTAAAGCTAGGTGACAAAGCAGATTGTCTTTCTTTTCCTGGCTTACTGGTCCTCAAAAAAAGACATGAGGGAAACACAGCTACTAGCTAGAAGGCATTAGAGGTTTAGTTATCAGTTTGGTTTTTTTGTTTGTTTGTGGTGGCGGGTTTTTTTTTGGTTTTTGGTTTTTTTTTTTTTTTAAGTACAAGCACCACTGCAAGTGGTTTAGCAGGAAACATACTGTTGCCCATATGGTGGTGGTAGGGTAGTCACCTGGCCACTTCCCAAAGGACAAACTGAGCCGATGCCTTGAAAAATAGTTACATCAGCTCTCGAGAAAAGCAGGAATTATTTGTTTCAGAGAACAGCAGTCCCAGGGGACAGGCTTCCAATTAAGGAACTGTGGTCTCTCCTACAGGGTATCCAGAAGAAGCTTGAGAGCTGCTGACACCACCTTGGTTCCTGAGAGATTAGCAGCTCCCTCTCGTTGTGTTTTTTTAGGGCTTCCTGCAATTATTCCCTTTGACTTCTTGAGACCACATGAAGCAGAAATCTCTGTTCAGAGAACTAGGCAGCTCAGGACCCAGATTTACTACTTAAGCCCATAATCCACTACCATGTTACAGAAATCTTGCCTTTGTGTTCTGGCACTGCCTACTCACACAGCTGGACCTTCTTCCCCATACAAGCTCTTACGCATTATATCCACAACTCCCTGTTCCCCCTACACACTCCTCAAAAAAAAAAAAAGACTTCCTATGAAAATAAGAACTATCCAGGCTTGTTTAGCAAGGCAATAGCAGCAGTGTGCTCTTTCTTCCTGTTCTCTTCCCTCATCTACGAGGGAGACTTCTTACAGTCAAAGCAGCACAGCAGTTCATTATACAGTTTCACTCTGTTTTTGCAAGTGCACTTCCCAGAGAGACCCAAAACAGATTGCTGTAGAAGGAGATATGCCTTCAATAAAGGCTGCAAAAGCTGCCAACTGATGCTTGTAACCTTGTAAATTAGCCCTCAGCGCATCTTGGATTTGATCACTCAACTATAAAGCTTTTCAAAGAATTTATGTGAGGCCAGCAGCACTGTTTATCTTTTATCAGCCCAGCATCTCTGCACTGGGAGATATGCACTGCAGGAAGGTCTGGCCAGGTGCAATGTGCAGCATGCCAGCCATGCAGAGATTCTCAGCAATGATGGGTACAAGCTCATCCTCTGCAATTGCTGGTTGAGATGGAAAGTAGTCAGTGGCTACTTTCTCATGATTCAAAGTAGATATCCACTGGGATAGTGCAGTCAATATAAACAAGGCTCCACAGGAAGAACTACAGATGGTTCTGCTCAAGTCACATACAGCTCACTGCAGAGGGTTTTGAACAGCAACTACTGTGTCAGATGGAAGAGACACTGCTCTTCTAGCAGAAGAAAAAGCAGCTAGCTTCACCCCAGTCATTTACTTTACAACCAGTTCAGGTCAGTAGCCACACCCCACACTAGACAGTGCTTGACTGGCTTTTTGTCTTCTTTCACTGAAGTCCTTTGCAGATGGGTTTTGGTAGCAGCTTTTGAGGAGAGCTGTCAAATACAATCTATAATAAGAATTTGCAGCTCTTTTAGAAGAGATTCAAGTTGTCAACATCGTTGCATGGTTTCTAATCTTAGATTAAGCACATGCATTGGAAAGTTTTGGTGATTCGGCTTCTATACAGTGCTTTTCAAATGAAAAGTTATCCCAGGTAAAACTCAAGTCTTACCACATAGGGCTAACAGGAAAGCAGTATCTTCAGCTACAGTGGCTAAATTATACAGCTATGACTGATTAGTGCTACCATCTTGATAAAAAAAATAAAAAAAAAAATCAAGAATCTCTGCAAGCACCAATCCTTTCCTCATGTTTACCCACAGCTCAGTTTCCAGTCTTAAGCAAGTCATCCAGTGGAACAGATGCAGCAGCACATACCACAGGATGTTGTTAGAAAGGAAATTAGAAGAGTCTTCAAAGCCTCACCACTACTGCCAGAGTTTAAATGAAGACAAATGGCTTCAAGCATACTGTTTACCACGAGTGTTCTACTTACCACAGCCTGCTTCCTTAGGTCACAGTTGGTTTCTTTGGGGGAAAAACACCAACCCAAACCTGCCTTCAAATAACCCAACTGGAAGTTCCCTGAAGTACTGATCTTCACTAAATCAAGCCTTTACACTGCTTTTACATAGGCAAACAGCACATGCGGTTTCATTGATATGTTCTTCGTTAAAGGAAAGACTAAAACCAAGGCAGAAATCCCTGTGACTCCATCCATAACAATGGATAAATGACACCTCTGCATTCCACATTTCCCTCAAAGCTGTGTGAAGCTCTATGGATAAGAGCGTCTTCACTGCTTGCTCGCTTTAGAGTGCACAAGCTAGTGTTTGAGCATCCTATGGCCCAAGCAAGTAAAATGCTCAGCTTATCTTTTATATTAACTCCAGTCTGTTGTGTCAGCATCACACTGCCTGCAGTAAAGATGTGTTAGTGTTAGTCACTCTGCGTGTAACTACACTCTTCTAGATAAGTATTCAAAGGTCAAGTTCCAGTGTGAGTAATGTACATAGGACAGTACTCTGATGCAGAGATTTGTTACTACCACTTAATCATACTTAAGCATGTTAAGTATATTTCTGCAGTTTGCACTTAAAAATAAAGCAGTTAAAGCTCTGAAGTACATGCAAGTGCTAGAGCAGCAGCTTGTTATCTCTCCTATCTTTTACTACTGTCCTTCAGCAATGAGCTTGCAGCAAGATAGATATCCTAAAATCCCTGGAGTATCCAGGCTCCAGGAGACTGAACACCACAAGACTTCAACAGGGAGGGGGAAAGAAGTTTCCCAGATTATACAGATCTTGCATAATCAGTGAAAAACTAAGACAGATTAAAACTCACCTTATCAGATTGATGCAAAAGCAAGCAGCTATTAAAAATATTAGACTTTCATTTACCAAGACAAGTTGCCAATCTAACCTACTACAAAACCCTATAAAGCCTTGACAGTAACAAAGTGTTCCCTCTATATCATTGCATTCCAGTAAAAGCTGTCCTCAGTTGAGGAGCAGGTTTGACTTTGCAAAGCATCCTTACAATCCATAGCAGAATCGGGCACATGATCTGTCTGTCAGACCATTTCTGTTGATCTGCAACAGACAAATCTGTTTTTGAAAGTCTTCCTATAAGTGACTTCTGTCTACATCTTCCAGTGAGACAAAGTCTACAAGAACTTCCAAGATCAAGTACTGAGCATAACAGTGCAAGATGGTACAGGACCGAAAGTCAGGACATCTTTTTATCCAGAGTTTGTGTGGACTTTCAGCTTGCTTTTACTAAAGCCATTCAAAAGACGAGAGCATAGAAACAGCTCTTCAGTCATGAAGGTGCACGATACCACACTGGTGAGGGAACAAAGCTTGCCAGGAATTGTGCAAGAGTCTTCGCCCTCTGAAAGTGTAGATCAGATAATAGGCTTAAATAAAATTTAGCTTATACGAAAATCAGTTCCAGAGACATTTTCATACTCAGCCTGGCTCAAAAAAACCTAACTATCCAGTGCTGATAGCAATAGTCAGCACAGATTGTTTTGTAGTGAAGCCAACGTTCCTCATGGCAAACAGCTGAAAAGAGATGTTCCTCTGAAACAATCATCCTGTAGGCAGAAGAGCACGTAGTGAGGGTGCTTTTCTTACAGTTTATGTTAACAAAACAAGCTCAGCAGGGTGCAACACATGCAAACACAAGGTACATATCATGCAGACTGAGCAACTAAGTAGTATTCACCTTAAGGAGCATTCAAGCATTGCCCTTTAGATTTTATGCTAAAATTATCACTACTGCTAAATTTAACCCTGTCTTCCAAACAAGGACCTCTCACCCATAAAAGCACGTGGCTTCCCTCTGGCATTCATATTAATCAGAAACAGGGAAAGTGTTCAACGACATAATAGACTTCAACTTCTCTATAACGCCTGCTATAAACCAAAGCAGTTTTGAAAAGCAGCATACTGTAGAGATTATCCCAGCACAGCAAATTTCACTGTATGGAGATGATTCACTACATATTTCTCTGTATGCCCTGTTTCAGTGAAGCTGCTTACAGATGTACAAGAGCCCAGGCACAGACATTGTGTTTATAAGCAGCATTTCCACTGTTCTGCTGTAGTGGTTTACAGATGACAGGAGCTGAGCAGCCAGCTGGGTGGTGAAGAGCAGTCAGGAAGATCTCTTGCCAAAGAGGTATGTATATACATGCCCACGCAAGGATGAGGATGATGTACCACAATAGCAGAGACAAGCAAGGACTGATAACATAGGAGATCCAAAGTTGTGTTGTAGTGGAAACAAAAATCTCAGTTTTTGTGAAACAAAAATGGCTTCCCAGTTTACTCCAGACTGACTCATTTTTCCTGTTTTGATTTGGTCAGTTGCAATAGACATCAGGCCCTCTGAGTAAAGACAAACATCTGAGGCAGTTAGTTATGGCTTCCAGTAGCCACTCCTTTAACTTCCAGCAACAGGATTCTGCAACAGAAGGCACACAGAAGAACAGGTCTGGGGATGCCAGTTACTTATTACGGAAGTTGACTTATATGGCACAAGTACAGAGTTCATCAGTCTTAACTGGCTAAGTGAATTCACAGCCAGTTACATAAATCTGCTCACAAATGCTTATGTTTTAGCTCTAAATGCTGCATTTTTAGCAGTGCAGTACAGCTCCACATCTTTAAAGGTGGCTGTCCACAACAGTGCCCAAGAGCAAAAGAATTCCTAGCTGTTTCACAAACATTCTCCTAGCATTGTAATATTAAAAACAATTCCAACATGTGATCATAGATTAAGTTTTAGTGGCTCTCAGGCAGCAGATTATAGTTTTAGAGCACGTACATCACCCAGCGTGCAGGAATTTAGGAAAGCAGCAGCTGTATAAGCAGCTCACACAAAGCACATAAAAACTGTGCTATTTTTATTAGCAAGCATCAGCATTTAGGTCCTCAAAGATCTGAAGTGGAAGTTCAGCAACAGGCTTATTTCTGGAGCATTACTTCATTTCATTTGAGGAGATTAACACTTTAAACATTAACTCTTACAGCACTTTTGATGTGCTGTAGTACATTGGATACTGATGGCAAGAAAGCAGACTACAATTTGTCCATGTCAAGGGACACCCTGAGAACTGCCACCTGCATTACAACAGGTGACAGGTTATTCCCCCACCCCCCCTTACAGAGCAGTTTGGAGGTTTTTAAAGTATGCTTTACAAATCAAACCTTGTTTGAACCTTGTCCATTATTTGATGCTAGGGAATGCAATTTGAATTCTAATCAAGAAAGCTCATCTAGAAGTCCGCAGGGTTCAACCCCCTTCCTCCCAAATATGTAGAAAGTAGCTTTTTCTGCATCAGCTCAGCTAAACTGTTTAATGCGATGAAGACACAGCAAATATCTAACAGCAAAAATTTAAAGCAGCTTACAGAGCTTTCATGTCCCCTGAGCCTCTGAAAAAGAAACTAATATAAGTGAAGCAGAAGTGTTTGCTGCCCATAGAAACTGTACAAAGTCAGAACTCTTTAAAGTCAGACTCACCTGCTTGGTTAAACCACCTCCTTCCCAATTTAGGCAGCTTTTATTTAGTAAAGTGCCCGTCACACCCCTCCTCAACCTTCAGTGACTACAAGAAGCCAAAACACAAGTAGTACAGCACACCTTCCTGGCTGATGAGAGCTGGAGAACACAAGGCTGACACCAATGCCACAGCAGAGCACCTAGCAAGGACTCGGACCCTCCCTGGCTGCTTCTCTTCCCAAGGTCAATGCTTCAGCTTACCAACAGGGAGCTGCCACTCTTCTCTACCGCTCAACATGTTCTCCTCCAAAGCTTCAGGAGTTACACTGTTCTTCTAGTTCATTATTCTGCTGGAAATGTTCCTCCCAGAGTAAAACACTAACAGGTTGACAGGAATCAAACACTGTTTGCTATTAGATAGAAGAAAAGAACATTGAAAAGCTTGAAGACAGCTTTTCTGACTACTTGTCTCCTTGCATCTAGAAGAAAAGCAGTGACAGTGCAAAAGAGTCTTCTGGTACCAGGCAGCCTGGTTATCCAGTATAGGTTACTGTGCAAACAAAGCATAAGAAGGATCTAGGCCGGATTTTTGACAGTGTTTACTAACAGCCTTGACAGTTATTTGCCTCATCTTTGAGGAGCTTGCCTTTACTAGTGATAAAAGTGTACAGACAGCAAGGATAACTATTTTCGATGACACTTGTGCCACACCTCTACAGGAATACACACACACCCTTGACGGTAGAATAAATGGGAAACAGCCAAAAAAAAAAAACAACTATCTAGCCCAGTACAGCAAGCACTGGCCAAATTTGTCCCCATGAATCAAGGAGCCAATGCTGCATTTCTTCAGGAATAAGAGAGCAAATGGCAGACTTTCTGTACCAATTTGAAAGACAGGAAAAGACGACAGCTGCAGGCAGGGGTTAGGCCCAAGTGCTCGAGGGCGCCAATAGCTGTGCTGATTTGCAAGAGCTTCCATGCAGGAAGCAGTTCTTTGAATAAAAAAGGGTCTGACTATGCTACTCCACTCCGTAAGCCAAAGTACAGAGCTGCACAGGGGTAGAGGAAGGGAAATAAAGAGGTAAGAAAACATGAGCTTTAGGAAGACAGAGTCTCTTGCTTACCAGTGTTCGATAGATCTGTAGAAAGGTTCCAGCAGTTGAGAGAACTGTAAAAAACAGTACTAACATCTGCAATTACAAGGTACCTGGCACACAGCCATTTCAGGCAGTTTTACTATCCAAAGCTCTTAAATTATTCATCCACCACCACTTGGCTTACTGAATGACACTGTGGTTACAGTGTATTGAATAAGTCCATAGATGAGGATGGTGCCATGAAGAGGAAATAAAATCCAAAAGTGTTTTTTCCAAGTATTTTTGAACAGCTGCATAGATAGAATAACTTTGCTTATTTCTGCTTTTTCCCTGCCAACCTGTTTTTTCCAGCAATACCCTCATCCCTTCATCCTTTAAGCATAATAGAGCTGAACAAACCAGGTCTGAAAAGCTGTACAGAAGAACTGGTCTTATAACAGATCTTACAACAAACCTAGTACTGATGTAACAGGAGAGATTGTTGGGCTACTTCTCTTGCTTTCTTGGCAGAATTTAAAAAGAGCTGCTTAATCAGCTTTCCTAACACTCTGAATAATTAGCAAGCAATCAAAGCCTTGCAAGATTTTTCAGTGGAGTATGGCACAAGCTGTTTTCACATAGCTTTTTACTAATTAGTCCTGTAAACCATTTCATGCATAATTGCAGGAATTTAAATATATTTGTTCCTCTTTAGTCTCCAGGTGACTTTCATGCCTAAAGACAGGATTTCTTTGATTTTTTTTTTAAGTTTCTGTACTGAAAAAAGTCTGTGATAACATTAATAGAGAAAAAAATAAATCACATATACATCATCTTACAGAGTTGCCTTTCCGGTAAATCCTTTCAATCCCTGACAGCAATCATATTCCAGTCTTCCCTCACACAGGTATAGATGTAAAACAACTGAACAACTACCTATTGACACATTTTGTTCTACTTTGCTTCAGCTGAGTGTGTTTCCTGGGGTCATGCAAGTCTTTCAGACAATGTTCTGCCCAAGAACCATGTGTTGGAAATCACTGCTGCAGTTTTCAGAGAAGTGGGTATGCCTGAGCTCAGCTGATCCAGAGAAAGCAAACAACCTGAGATTGCACACTACTAATACAACACTAGGTTCTGCAAGAAGCTCTTCACTCCTGCAATTAACACACAACAGATGTATTGCAATTTTTAGACATGTTCTGCATCTTCACTCCTTTGGGAATGCTTTGTTCTCCAACTGAGTGGAAGTCAAAAATGTAGCTCTAATACAGTAGTGCTAGGAGCTTGTACCACAAGAACAGAGCCAAAATAAAACAGACTCTGAATTAGCTTACAATCTGTTTCCAAAGATTAGCCTGATACCAACATGCCTCAAGACTGATAATCAGCACAGTCTCATGCTTGCTCTGTCAGTGACTAGGGACGTGTCAATATGGAGTGCCAACACTGAGATGACAGGCGTCTAAGGTATCAAGTAACTAGAACCTCCTTAGTGTATTTTTTAGGGAAGCAACTGCTTTGCAGTTCAGGCACTAGACATAGTCAAGAATCCAATTTCAATGCTCAGCTTCAACACACATTTATGTTACTACCAAATTCAGAGAATCCTCTTTGGGCTCCGATTTAAAACTGATAATGCTTTGTTTCCTCTAAGAGTTTACAGATCCTACGGCCTAAGACCTTACACCTTATGTAATCAAGGCACCTAACACAGCACTGCCAGAAGCCTCTCATCTCCCCTAGCATGACTATCATTAAGTCAGCTTGACCTTTGAGATCCAAAAGGAAGGTTCATGCAGCTGCACTCAGCACTGACTAGATAACTGATGTATTTAGGGTTTCTAAATAGGACTTGGAAGTTTTCAAAGTGATTGCAGAAGAGAAATATTGTAATCAAAGTCCTTGTCCCTCCAAAGTCTCATGAAACTAGTAAATGCTTCATATTATTGGGGAAGGTAAGGGGAGCTGCACTGATTCTGGAGGTCCTAGAACGGAAGGTCAAGGATCAGCCCACTTAAATACACTGTTGATGTAAGGTCAATTTGAAAGTGGATTCAACAGGCTTAGAGCTGGCCAGTATGTCATTACTTTATTAAACTAGTTACGATGATGTGCTCTACCCAGTAATAAATTTCATGTCTTCAATCCGCGTAAAGCACTTCAAATAAGAGTAGGCACTTTAAAACTAATAGCCATCTCTGTTCATTGTAAGTGCACAGACACACCATGAAAATGTTTCCTTCCTGTGAGCCCCAACAGATTTCTTGCTTAATAGAAAGGGGAGTACACAAACAGGAACAAGTGCTGACTGCATCCATCTCTCCCCCATTTCCACAGACAAGGGGCTATATAGTGCTGGTATAGCACAATATCAACATACAGATACTACGTAGAGGGGCAGGGATGACTTTTTCTATACATCCTTGGAGAGCCCTGCACAACAAGGCTTGGGCCTAAACCCAGGTACCTGGCACACTAATGATAACGAAATGCTTGACTTGGAACAGGTTTATTTTATCAAGAGAATACCCTGACATTCATTTGCACCCAGGTTTAAGGAACATACTAGGCAGAAGAATGGTTAAGTGCTGCTCTTCTCCCTATAACACAGATCAACATGGAAAAAATATACTACTTACTCTTTGGTCAGAAGTGGGCAGGATTTGAGTAGAAAGCGAGCCAAAGCAGAGTCCTGGTAAACGAGTTCAGGAGGGGCAGTTGGGCTTTTTAAATTCAAGCAGCGAACAATAACATACAGAACAGCAGCAACTGCAGCTAGCTTCACCCCATCAAACACTGCCGGCAGCTCAGGGGTTTCCAACATTGCACTCATTTTGAGCCTGGAGATAAAAAAACAATATTAAAGCTTTTTGCAATATACTGTTGCATGTGAATATCAATTGCCACGTTAAATATAAGATTGTGCTAATCAACTAAATTTGCCAGTCAACACTGCTACAAAAATCCTAGCATTATCAACACAGACTAGCAACTTTTAAGATGAAAAGAAGTTTATTTTGTACTGCTGTAAACACCCTGACCACCACTACAGACAGGAACTGGATGATCAGTTGGGAAGGAGATATATTCCTAATCCGTGCAGCACTAGAATTGCAAGAGCATCTCAGGTATCAAACCCTACAGTGTGCAGCCAGTTAACACTTTCAGGATCTTGGACAAGACTATCCATCTCAAATAGACACTGATTGAAAAGCCAGGCTATAAAGGCACATCAGCAGCTTTGGATGTGTGTTTCTTCTCAGATGTACAAGTCAGGCTTGAAAAGGAGAACTTTAAACAACTACTGTGTTAGTTCCTCAGCCTGAATTTTGCGAGTCCATGAGAATACTGGTACTAACTCCTGCATGCATTTAAGGTGGACACTTTATGTACCAGCGAGTTAGCATTTCTTTTAATTCACTGTAGTTCTGCAGTTGAAGGAAGACTAGGTTAATACCTAGTCTTTAAGGGATTCAGAGTAAAGGAAGTGAGGCAGGGGAGAGAATTAAAAAAACCCTCTTCAATATAGCAATATCCGTCCAGCTTGAAATCAAATTCTTAAACTGATCCAGCTTCTTTTGAACATATGGTTCAAATAGCTGGTTGCAGTTATCACAGGGACATTTCATCTATGTTGAAAGGGCAGGTTTTTCCCTGGGTCCTTCCTCAGTCACATGGGTAACCCAAGTAAGGCAGCAACTGACAAGTCAAGTCTTACCAATTTCACTTTTTGTTCAAACTAGAGATAATCGCCAGTCCTCGCCGTCTGGATCCACGTACTACCGGAGTTAGCCTGTGAGGGGAGGAAAAACAAATTGATTGTTACGGATAAGGCTGCATCTCTCAGCTGGAAAGGAAGAACACAAGTTTATACAAAGGTCCCATCACAGACACTGCAATTGATTTGTGTATTCAGCCATAACCACTTCAACTCTGATCCACCTGCATGAGAAATCTCTTGCCTGTGGACAGATTCCAGACTACATTAGTTGCTTACAGCGTATTAATTCATCTGCAGTATGCAAATACACCTTCATGAGCAGAGATAGACGGAAAGCAATAATGAAAACCAGTGCAACTTCAGAAGAAAGCCAAGCTATGAACTTCCAGAAGACCACACAGTCACCATCTTTGCAAGACAGTGACATTGTCCCCAGTTACAAAAGCTACCCAACTCCCTTCATATTTAGAAGGCTAGAAATAACAGGCTACTGTTCTTCTCAACTCTGTGCAATATCTACACTGTTACCAAAGTGTGAAGCCAGTATGAAAGAAGTTTCCTGCTACTTTTACTCAGGCTTAGCAAAGCAGCTCACTCCTACAGATGGAAGCCTGTAAAGAGTCTCTGCTTGTTCCCACACTTGCTTTTTGAGACATTACAACATAATCACACTTCAACAAGGCAGTGAGAGCCACCAGGAGGCTCAGATACAGCCACCTAATTAACACTAGTGCACACGCACCAAGGCTTGTTACAAGAATTTCACGATGCCAATAAAAGAGAGAGCTTTCAGCCTGTAAAAAGCATAAGTGCTATTTACAATTAGAACTGGATTCTGTACAGGCACAACAAACCAATGGGGAATCAGACCTTCCTGGAAAAAGCTCAGAACCATCTGCTCTCTACCACGGTTGCTGCCTCCAACTCAGAAAACACACCACGAGGATAGGCCATACCAAAGCCTTACTCTTCTTCCTAGCAGGAAGACAAAACCCCAGAAGTACTTTGTGTACTCAACGCAGCTAGACCAAAATCCCTCGAAGAAAACAAGTCTGACATCAGCTATTGATTAACAGCATGCTGGAAAGCTGCAAGTTTCTGCCACTATAACCATCTGCGTTGCAGGAGAAGAGAGGGCGAGGAAAGCAGAGACATTTAATATTGGGCAACTCCGAGGCTTTTATTTTCTAATTCTGAGCTTCACAGTTGAAGGGACAGATGAGTGGGCTACAAAAAGCAATTTATTCTTTTAATCAGAAGGTTACATTGCCATCATGTGTCTTAAAGAAGAGTTTGAGTACAATGGTCAGCTACAGTGTTCCATACTTAGTAGACTTTCACCAACACTACTGCCAACTGCGTAGGAGACAACAGGCAAACTACAGCAGTGGCTTTTCCAGGGAAGGTACAACTGGCAGAAGAGCAGACCAAGTTCCTGAATTCAAGGACAACCAGGTACTCAAGTAAACCTTTCCCAGCTGAAACTCACAGAAGTTCTGTTGGTACCTTCCTTTCATTGTTTTACTTCGAAAATTAGCAGACACACTGATTTTTTAAGTTACCCAAGACCTTCCTGCAACCTGGATTTTAAGCTAGTTTGTTGTCCATAGTTTTCATGTTATTAGTGAATTTGTTAGAAATAAAACTGGGCACGATTAGTCATTAGCATTTTGTATTAGTGCCTCAATATAACTGATCCAACTAAGCCGTATCTCCCCGAGAGTCTTCTTTCCCACATAATCTTCAGATTACAAACACACCACACCTCTTCTGATACTTCTATACCTCATTTTAGCCTGTCGCTACCTTAAAAAAAAGCATACTAGCTTGGAGTTACTTTCAGAAAAATCAGCTGTTGGTAGACAGGATTATACTTTGACACTTGGAAACTAGTATTTTTCCATTTTAGACAGTCTAAACACACATTTACTGAACTTACACACCTCAAACGTGCTAGAGGTTCATGTATTTGTCAGGATCCTTACCTAAAAGCTCAGGTCAGTCTGTGCACAGCTAACAAAGTTGGCACTGCTGTTGCAGTTGCACAGCTGTCTGCAGTCATTAAGCAATGGATCTTGTCCATGAAGACTACAGTGGTAAACTCCATGCCCCATGGATGCAGCTGTGGCACTTCAGGTACATCCTTTAGAGTCTGGTATTTCTGAAGACCTAAACAAACTGGTCTCAGCCAGGGCAGATTTGCAGGGGTTGAGCCAGAACACTCTGATCTAAAATTTTAAGGGTTTAGCTTACTGAAATGGATTTGAGAGCTCTGCCTCTAATCACATCGGACAAATGTCTCCCTATTTACAAGCAGGGATGAGGTCACCTTGCTTCTGTTTTGTTAAACCCTTTTTGCATTGACCCAATAAACTTATCTGTTTATGAAAAAGGACAGATAAGCAGAGTGTTGAGCCAGTCAAACAGTCAAATTTTAATCTAGAATCTCCTCTAAATGGGTCAGCATTAGTATAAGCAAACATTTGGCCTTTCCTGTACATAAGACACTAGATTCACTTTTAGCAGGCTAGACAAAGTTAGCAAGAGGCAGTTAAGTATATCACTGGAAGCAATCAAGCCTGTCTTTTCATCCATCACAGGGTTTGAGATCCACATTGAGGAATACAAAGAAGCTGAAGCTCTTGGGGCCAAGGATGTTACTCTGAAGCACCTTAAGTGTACAATTATTTTTTTTCAAATCACTTAAAGGCATGACAGCCCCAAAGACTGACAGTCTTTTCAAGCAATATTAAGTCCCATTTGTGACTGAGGACTAACTTTAAAAAAAAAAAAATCAACCACTGCAAAGCATGTGCTGGATTTGTGGAATCTTTTCATTTGCACTTTCATCACAGAATAGAAAGCTGAAAGGGATGTTACAGTAAACACTTCAGCATTACAGTTAACAGAGTGTACCTCACCTGTACAAGTATAATGAGAAAAAACCCTGTCTCCCTTTTGCATACAGGAATAGAAACAAGTACAACAAAAGCCAGTAGAGCTACAGCAAATTCCTTATGTATCCTTTCAAACACACTGGGCTTTGGGAAAGCCATCATCAAGATATTTACTTGTACAGTAAGTGAATTCACAACTGACAATAAATCTGAAACCTGAACACATTTCTGTTCCAGGTTTCCTGGGGAGAGGAGACTCTTCCAGGGTCAGAAGTCACTTCAGTGGGTGACTCAACGGGGCATGGACAGGATTTGGTAACTACCAAGCATTACAGCTCCTCCACCCATGCCAAAGCTGAGCCTGACTGTGCATACTGGAAAGCCAACTCTAAAAAAAAGCAAAGACATTAAAGGAAGCTACTCCCATAGGGTCCTTCCCTCAGGCCTTTTAATGAGCAACTGAAAGCCTAGCAGATTCATTTCACTGAAGCCTTCGAAATGCTTTGGGCTAAAAGCAAAGATGCAGCTGCATGGAACTGCCAACAAACAAGAATAAAGGCAGCCTCTTTAAAAGAGGCTCCACTAGCAAGATATTTTATGCTCCGTTACAATTACTGAAGAATCTTGAAGGAATCCCATTTCCAGGAATGGCAGTTTGATACAAAAGCCTCTTAGATGCCCTCCCATCAGTCAGCATTCTAGTTCATTAGTGGCTTTCAGAGCTCAGCTGGACACCAAAACACTGGACCATGCCGAGCTAACACTGAAAGCCTTTAAAAATTCCCTTTCCTATCCTTTTACAGTTTCTACCAAGTACTGCAATATCCTCTCTTCCTCTAAGATTCAGAAGAGCCAAAGAGGCTGTTTCTAGATAGATTAAGCACACAGACTTTGTTAACAAACTCAGACATTTCTTGGACTGGTTTCATTTATTTGTAGTGCCTGCTTGTGGAATAAAACTCTGAAAGCAAGTTTGCTAGACAAGAGGAAAGCAAAAACACCCTGCTTTAAACAGTTGTGCCTAGGCAGATTCAGATCAGAAATAAATTTTTTTTTTTCCTCTTTCTTTGAAGGCAGAAGAAAGCAGGCTGTTTCACTCAAGTTAGTTCTTTAGGGAACTAATCATCTTTAATATCAGCCAAAGCTAATGCCTCTTCCAAAATATACACCACAAAACCAGAAGTTACAGGCCTGTCACTACCAGGTAAGATATTTAGAATC